ACTGTCGTTCATCTGAAAGGCACAAGTGAAAAAGGGGTGTAGAACTGCTTTTCAAGTTCTCAGCACTGATCAGCATGCTTGCAAGTGCAAAACTCTCATAAATAGGTACTTAGTAAAACTTTAAAACTGGGTTCTAAAAGGAGCGTGGACTACTGTCGGATGAAGGTTATTTCATGCATGCACTACCCGAAATAAGAAAACGTTTGCCTAATTAAAGTGTGCGCTCTGAACTTGAGATTCTTCCATGTCCCTACCGGGTGTTTCCCTCGTCAACGGTAAAAAATCCGTAGGCTGAGCTTTGTTCACAGCGCATCTGTAAGAAGTGGGTCGTCTTGGAGACGACGATACTCCAGGGCAAAGAGATCAAGCATCGCGAGGCGCGTTTCGTAGTCCACGGATTTAAGGCCGACAACCACTTTCGCAGCACCTCGCTGGATAAGCTCATGAGGGTCATGTCTTTCGTGTGTCATGAGTAGACAACATGTTTGGCATATTTTGGGAGTGGTCTGAAGTAGGCTGCACAGAGTACTTGGAAGTGGGTGCGGGTAATACGGAAGAAAATGTGCCGAATCTTTTTAGAACGGCGAATGCCTTTTGGGCCGACTTCCCATTGTGTAGTGAGGACATCCTTGAAGAGAGCCAGATACCCAAACCTCTTTGGCACCTATTCCTGTGATGTATCCTGGTTTACGCTTACTTTTCTCTGTCTCCTTAAGTGACATATGCAGGCACTTTTCCTCACTTAGAGGAAGGTGCCAGTCCAACGACCACCGCTTCTCAGCGTCTACATCCATTTGTAGGGCACTGGTATTCAGACTCCGGGATTTCAACGCGTCCGAAAAAGTAGACATAGATATGCAAGAACTCCTGAAAAGTCGTTGATGTAGATCGGAAACAGAAGTAGTCCCAAAACGGAGCCATGAGGAAATCCTATGGATACCGGCGCCGGAAAGAATAGGTCGTGCTACTTTCATCTGGAAAGATCTGTTTGATAGGAACGCCTCAATCTAATGTGAGATTTTTCTTTGAATCCCGTAACACTCGAGTTTGTGGAGCAGGGTGATGAGTGGCACCTGATTCAATGATTTGAGAAGTCGGAAAACACGCCACCCGATATGTGGCTCTCGTTCATGGCTTGGGTTAAGCTGTCCATAAATACAAGCAGTTTGTCAAGCATGAATTGTTTAGGATAAACCCATGTTGAGCCAGAGATACGGTTATCTGTGGTTATCTAGGGAAGCCCGCTCTTTCCATCACCTTAAACCTTAATATGGGTTATAGTTCTGTAGCTGCCAGGCGATAGTCGGTCAACAGTCCGGTAGGTCGGTGTAACACTGGTTTCTTTCCAAGCAAATCTAAAATGGAAGCAACCTTTGTCGAACGCCTGTGCCACAAACCTTAACCTTCCTCGCTTGTAACACTTATACCGGGTACACCCATTGATCCAAAACATCATTTACATTGAAGCGAAAATCGCTTATAGTGGCACACTTAATATAAGCTAACACGTTTGGCGAAAATGTCGCGCTTTTCCTTAGGCTGTAACTGCGGCATTCGCAGGGTAACTCATCGTTCAAGCACGGATCACTACCAGGTACCTCACGTTTTCTCTAATTCACGCCCCGAACGAAAGTGCCTACGCAAAACTTCACCATCGCACCTCATTTAGATTCAAATAAGCTCACAACTGTTCGCATTGCCCGCATACCCGGTAGCCCTGCCTGAGTATCGAATACCGTTTGTTTAATATCGGGTGGTTTGGTCTCACTGTGGTATTTAGAAATTCTGCGCACTCCGAGCAGCCTGTTGTACGGGGCCGTGGTCTTGCTCATATCATGGTATCTTCTAGCAGAACCTTTTGATACTTTTCTATTTTAAGTCTTCAGCATAGACACGAGTGTTTCATTGCCTCATTTGAACGGCATCCATAGCCGCGTTCTTGATGGATCTAAGAATATCCTTGATCCATGCTGGTCCTAATTACTCTTCATTCATTGGACAGTCCGAGCTAACATGAGATCACCTGATAGCCCAAATAGGGTGTTCATGTACGGAGCTGTCCACAAACCACAGTAGAACGTTGCGACGGGCGTGCCTAGTTGCCACACCCAGTCTGATGGCTTGCCCATTGTTCAACACATCCCTACTTTTTTCCAAACTTGCGCGCTACGTGCGCCCGCATATTCGTCCTAACCCACTAAATTTGTGCTATAACTACAAGCCACTGCCTATCTTGTTGTATTTTCTGATGTACTCGCCCACAGATCCATTAATTCTTCTTATGGTACCATCAAAGATACAGTAAACCGTTAAGATAGAACATCGGCGTACACCTGACATAGTTTATGCTGACCATCGTTAAAGACAAAAACTTACTAGCTGTTCGTTGGCATGTTCGCTGAGCTGGGCAATTTGGTTTCAAACGTTTCATCACCAATCGAGGTGACATCATCAGTGCGTAGTTGGGCGTAGCGGTGGTTGTGGAACAACCACTAACCCACCGCTACGCACAACTACGCACTGATAATGTCACCTCGGTTGGTGATGAAACGTTTGCAAACAAATTGCCCAGCTCAGCGAACATGCCAACGACCATCTACGCTACCTGAGCTACCGACATTCTCCTCTATAGAAAACTTACTAGCTGTGACAAATTCGTTGGCTTTATCTAACGGGATGCCTACTGCAACGACAGGGAAACCTATAGGGTTTGCGAACGGCTTCTCCGAGTTGCGTCTGCGCGGACAAAGACGGTGTACTTATTCCTCGGGTAATTTTCAGATAATTTTCAAATGCACTACAAAACAAATGAAGAAACCAACCTTCCCGCAAAATTTCACGTCGTCCTCATGAGGAACATCATTTAAACTTGAATTCTGCTCACAGTGGGCTACAAACTTCTGGCCGCCTGGGTTGGAATTCAGGGTTAAAATAAATAAAATCAAATGTTAAAACGTAATGACAAAGTTTCTTTGTTTCGAGCTGCGTTAACAGGGAAGTTTGGGGTGCCTGTTTAAGAATCGATCCTCACTGAACCGACTGAAACCAGTGCACAATGGCTGGAGGTCTGTACATATTACCCGTACCGACTTCATTTCTCGGGCACCCAGACACGAAGTGGTACACAAGGAAGATTACAGCATGGAGCAATGTCCCCTGTAACGCTTTTCATCCTGTTTGTCCACCCAAGCAAACAGTGCGTGCGCCGCGGATTTCGAGGTGCTTTCTTTCGTCCAGAGCTTATCGGATAGCTGTAAACTGTGGCTTCAATTTGTTATAGTTTTCTAAGCATTTGTTCTACGCCATTTTCAGGTGTTCCTTCCAGACAACCTGGATACTATTTACCTGTGCTCTCTTTTTGATGGTTGCATGCCGCTACATATATACCATTGCTTCCAGAGCCATCTGAAGTTGAACCACCACCATTTTCATCTGTAACTGGTCTCCATATTCCGGGACTACTTCTAGTGTAGCCGGCAGTTGAAAAATGACGTCACAAACGAGAGATTCAGCTGAGCTCTAATATGGTCTCCCGTCAAAAACAAACTGGTGTGCAGATGCGTGCATAAGAGAGATGCTCATTGTTCAGTCCCAACTGCGTCCACCCCCTCTGAATTTCGGTTATCGCACCAGCTCTTTTTCCGCTCCATGCTTCCTTTCACCACAACTTGTAAATCTTGCTGCAAGACTGAGGATGTCTTCTTCAGTTGGCCGAGTTTGACCACCTGCGCCTCCTACCCTCAAACCCGTTTTGCTGGGGTCCCTGCCGTACACATCCACCTGTCCTCTTCACTTGATCGTGCGGACGCACTTGCCACATACCACTGTCTGTATATAGTTGGACACTCAACTCCTACCGCAGTGGTCTTATATAAGTCGAGATTGGAATGGATGTCGCCTCCGTTAGATTCATTGCGCGCATCGGCACCGCAGCCACCGCATGATTTTTGCCTGGAAGCTCGACTGCTCTTTCACCGGATATGGGTGGTACTGCTTACTGACCGCAAACGGTAATATTTATTCCTTGCTAGGTCTGGCTCCCGGATAGCCCAGCTAGCTGCGGTGCTCTACCGTGTTAAAGACCACAATATTTCCTGTACGAGAGTGGCACAGCTTTTCCAAAAACAAAAACAAAAATTTCATTGCGTTGACCCCTTATAGACCACTGGTCAAGTTGCGCTCTTTAGAGTCACTGAACGCCACCCAAAATTAGGGCTTAACTTGTGATAGAGTGACAGACTACGCCATCGAACTCCACACGCAAGGGCGTCGGAGATACACTGACCGGAGCGAAGAAAATGACATAGATGCCGTACACAGCTGATTTAGAGTTTAGAATAGGCTGAACGCGCTAGCGTTTAGCATATTGGAACAGAACGGTATCCTAATCACCCGGACTAAAGCCACATTTGTGCAGCGCTACCTGAACTGTCATGGAGAAGACAAGTTGTAGTGTAAAGAGGAGTAGAAAGCTTGCACAAATCAGCCGGCACCACACAAATTAGCATCCAGTTTGAAACTTTCCAGAGTACTTAGTTACGCAAGATAGAGTATGGACTCAGGCTCTAATCGTACACCCTTCATAATAACCAAAAAGGGCATGAATTCCTGAATCAATTTGGCTGCGTTCGCCTCGACTACCTTCCAGTCGCTGTTGACGCGGGCATCCAGCGTGCATCTCGGATCAATAGGGACGGTCATTCAACCTTGGTCTTACTTCTGGCTTCCGGGCATTGTCCAATAACAGACATACAACCAGCAATTAAGGAAACCTAATAGGCTCAGGGTGGTGAACAGAGGGTAATTTCGAAGTCTTAAAGCACCTTAGAGGAACTTTTTCAAGGGTGTCCCATGTGAAAAAACACGCCGGGTGTCCAGTGTCCCGGGGGCGAAAAGCACTCCCAGAAATCAAGCTGTAAGATCGTACAGTATGTTGTGCCCTATTCATCCTAGAAGTCATGCAGCTGAACCCGGGCACAGTGCCACAGGCTTTATATGAAATGTCTGTGAATCCCACAGGGGAGTTCGCGCCCGGGGACGTCTTCCCGCTATTTATTCTGGCTCGAGGATATGCAAATGAGTGTAGACCACTGAAGTTTGATACGCTTGCAATTCGAATTTCAACGTCTGGATTAGCCATCGGATCACGGGAAGATACCGAGGAATTCATAACTGCAGGTGCGTGCGGATAATGGTGAGTGAACGGGAGAATGTGCCAAAGAGATACTCGAGATTCAGGGGGCTGTATATGCTGAGAAAAATAAACTCCACTTTAGGCTTCTTTGTCCTGAAAGTAAGTCTGGAAAATGCACTGGATAACTGGTCAAAGCTGACATCGCCATGATCAACATAGACTATTCAGAGGTGGCACTTAATTCAGTCAGTTCTCCACTGCTCCAATGGAACGACATGCTGTTTTACTGTTCCAGTGGATTACCGAGTACCAAGTCTGGTGGGTGGATCCTAACGCCAGCAGCATCAGTGTTGTACACACCATCCCACTTGCCGCTAACAGCAATGAATCAGCGGACCGTGGGACCTGCATTCTGGCATGCTCAGAGCAGTGACCCACACTACTACGAACTCTCTTGCACCCGTTAACAATCCACCACTACAGAATGGAACACAGTGTGAATACTAAAAGCGAATCAATGCAGTGCACAATTGGCTGCAGAGTGAAGGGTGCCATTCAAAGAATTCTTTTAAGTTACGTGTAAAATATCTTGAATAACACGAGCGACGATGAAATTAAAAAAAATAAGGTGTTTTGTCAGTCGCTTGACGGAGGCCGCCTTCCCTCTGCTTGGAAGGAAGCGATTGTCACGCCAATCTACGAACCTGGTGACCGACTGTCGCCTGGCAGCTACATGCCTATAAGCCTCACTAGCGTACCGTGCAAGGTGATGGAGCACATTCTAAAGCGTGCTATCCTAGACCACCTTACTTCCGGCAGCCTGATATCTCCAGCCCAACACGGATTTCTCCCACACCGCTCTTGCGTGACAAACAGGCTCGTGTTTATGGACAGCCTAACCCAAGCCAAGGACGAAGGACCCACATCGGACGCCATATTTTTTGACTGCTCAAAAGCATTTGATAGGGTCACACACGTCCCGCTGCTCCACAAACTCGAGCCTCACGGGATTCAAGGAAAAGTCCTTCGCTGGATTAAGGCGTCCCTATCAGACAGATCGTTCCGAGTGAGAATAGGTTCGACCTACTCTTCTTTAGCGCCGGTCTCCATTGGAGTTCCTCAAGGCTTCGTCCTGGAACCATTGCTGTTTCTGATCTACGTCAACGACCTCCCAGATGTTCTTGCGAGTCCATGTCTACTTTTTGTGGGTGAATTGAAATCCAGGAGTACCAAAACCAGTGCCTTCCAAATGGATGTAGACGCGGCCAAGCAGTGGTCGTTGGGCTGACACCTTCCTCTGAATGACGAAAAGTGCGTCCATATATCGTTTGGAGGAGGCTCAGCGAATGCCTTTGTTATGCATGGTGAGAAAGGACCAGAAGACATCATGAGGACAGACGCCAAAAAGGATTTGGGTATCTGGGTCTCCTCAAACTTGCCTTCTCACTGCACCATAAGAAATCGGCCCAAAAGACATTCGCCATTTTACGGATGATTCGACACACTTTCTCCCCTATTACTCGCATTGACTTCCAGATGCTCTATGGGGCCTACGTCAGACCGCTCCTAGAATACGCCAGCCAAATTGTCTACTCAGGACCCACGAAAGACGTCACCCTCATTCAGCATGTCCAGCGAGTCGCTACGAAAATGGTTGCCGGCCTCAAATCCGTGGACTACGATACCCGTCTCGCGATGCTTGATCTCTCCCCTGGAGTATCCTCGCCTCCGAGGGGACCTAATTCTTATTTATGCCCTGTTTGAACAAAGCTTGGCAAACAGGTTTTTTACCGTTGACCCAGCAAACACACGGCGGGGACATAGTAAGAAAATTTTCAAGCTCAGAGCACACACATTCATTAGACAAAATTTATTCTCATTTCGAGTAGTAGTTGAGTGGAATGACCTTCCTCAGACGGTTGTTCACGCTCCTTCTAGAACCCTGTTTAAAGCACTATTAGACACTTATTTTTGCGAATCCTCGCGCTGGCGAGCATACTGCCCCGCGCTGAGAACATAAAGAGCAGTGCTACACCCTTTTTTCACTTGTGCCTT